ACTTTTTAAACAAACTACCAATATTAGTCATCTTACTCAGTGTATGTGACTCTCCGTGAATTCTTTTTTCTGAGCTGATATATACTTTGAATGGAAATAAATTTAAAACTAAGGGAAGTGAAATTTGAAAGTGAAACCTTTAATGGTTAAGTGGAACAAATCCAATGAGTACAAACCGCAAGCACGCTTTAGATTTAAGATAAATGCTTCGCACGTATTATTTGAAAACTTTCTTATGTTTATTCTTAAATATAAGAGTGTTATATAATACTTTCATTTTCATWAATTTTCATAAATAAAAGTTGTCGACTGTGAAACAGTAGTGTTTTTGAATTTGAATTTTTTTATAAGTAGCATGGTTGAGAAGAAGTTTTTGTCTTGTCTTGATGTTAAATGCAAGTTAGATCTAAAGTGGACGATTTTCTTAATATAGAAAATTTGTTAACAACGCACTATTAAGAGGAACACGATATAAAAAACACGCCATGCCATATATTATGGTAAATAAAATTTTCAATTGTTTTGTGATTTTAGGTGGTTCTCATTCTCTTTGCTGGGATGCCTTGATGTTTCCGAGAAATGGAAAAACCAAACATTTTAATGAAASTACGAACTTTGAGAAGCTTTTTCTTAGTAGACATTCATTCATTATGCCCTAAACAGAGTATATTAAGTTTGTAGCGAAGGAAATGTCGAGAATCGTACTGAAAATATTTACACTGACTCACACTAAAAATGGGACACTCAAAAACTATTTGATTTTTTAACTTAAAATATAAATAGTAAACAAGGTATGATAATTTTTTCAAAAATTCTTTTCAAATTTCAAATAAGACATATATTTTTTAATGATATGAAGAAAAAAAACCAAAGTTTATGCTATAACACCAACAAAATTAACATATTTACATTTATTGTGCGTTCAATTCAACTCACACTCGAAATGGGACAGTTTGTAAAGTTAAGAAAAACATTAAACCTGCGGGAGTTCATTATCTAGTGGATTTTCCTTTCTTATTTAAGACCTCTTGGAGACGACGTGGCATACTTTCTACAAGTTTTTTGCATACCGAAGCTTCTATTTGGCTCCATTCTCCTTCCACGGCTTTATTTAGCTCTGATTTTGTTTTAATATTTCTTTTGGACAGTCTTTTTTTAAGTTMTGCCCATAAATGCTCTATGGGATTAATGTCGGGGDATYGAGCAGGCGTRCAAAGTACTTTTGGGCAATTGTAGAGCWACCAATTTTTAKCATTCCAGGATTTATGCTTTGGGTCGTTGTCTTGGTAAAACGTGAAACAATCACGAATCCCAAGTTTTTCCGCACTGCAATTAACATTTGTTTTCAGAATGTTTCCAACCCCATCCCCCGACATACAGCCCCAAATCATCAGTGAGCCACCACCGAACTTCACTGTTTTTTGTCCGATCCAAAGATGTTAATTTTGGTTTCGTCAGTGAAAAGAACCTAAGAATAACTGAAATTCACAACAAGTTTCATAAATCAAGCTTTAAAAACAGTTTAMCTTACGCCAAAAAGAAAAGTCCTTATCTTGATATTTCAGAGCAAATTCCATTCTTTCTTTCTGGTTTTTTCGGTTGTGATATCAGTGGTTTTCGACGAGGTATTCTAGCGTTAAGTTTATTTGGTCTAAGTAATCTTCGAACAGTTTCTGCACTTACTTCAACTTTCTTTCTTCTTTTAGCTGTTTTTGTAACTCTACAGCAGACAGATATGGGTTATTTTTGATTATTCGCAACAAAAAGCGCGCAGTTTGGTCGTCAATTTTTCGTTTTGTACTTCTGTCAGGTATTGTATTACATAAGGTACGGTTTTTTTAAAGCGCTGAATAATGTTAAATACAGTAGATTTTTTTTTGCCTAAAATTTCGCCTATTTCCCTTATAGATTTATTACTTTCGTAATTATTAATTATAAATTTCCTTTCTTCAATTGTAGTGCGAGRCATTTTTCCAATTTTAGTCGCTGATAATCTGATTATGTTGCAGGTCAATGTACTACTAAAAGCATCTTCAGWTTAAGTTCAGTTTCTAGACAAAATAACGTTAGTATGACGTGCCGCAATAACTGTCCCATTTCAAGTGTGAGTTCCATTGAACGCACAATAAATGTAAATATGTTAATTTTGTTGTTGTTATAGCATAAACTTCGCTTTTTTTCTTCATATCAATAAAAAATATATGTCTTATTTGAAATAAAAAGGAATTTTTGAAAAAATTATTATACCGTTCTTACTATTTATATTCTAAGTTAAAAAATCAAATAGTTTTTGGGGTGTCTCATTTATAGTGTAAGTCAGTGTATATACCCGTGGTCACGCAAACCTTACCACTATACATTCTTAAATTTTTTGATTAGATTTTCTGATTTTCTTCAATTTTGTTCAATGAACATGTCTCAACCTTACGACTAGAACAACGCAAAACAAWAAGTTCTGAATGGTACACTACCGTATTTTTGCTGTTGTCTACAAAAAATAGAGACCGGTCTCACACATCGTCTGAAAGATAATTTGATGAGTAATCTTTGACTTTTTTCTTTTAAGAGGTCAACGTTTTTCGACACCTGAAGAAGTGGTTGATGATGCGTTCAGAACCAAAAGTGCTTCCCAATTGGTTCAAGCGCGAACGAAAGTGTAGAGATCTTAATTGAGAATATTTTTAAAAACAATAAACCRGTTTTCGATTATTAATATTTGTTTTTGTTCTTTAATMCCGAAATATAGAAGGCAACCCATGTATTCCAATTTTTCACTGAAAGTCATTTCATTTGAGTACCGTAGCGAGTGGCGACATATAATCCTCTTCGTATTCGTTTAAACTTATTAATTGATTTSATAAATGTAATTTACACCTTGTAAATGAGTAAAATTCTTTGCCTAATAATTAAAAGCAAATATTRTATTTTCTCTGGTTGTTATGTAACCAACAATAAGCCCCTTTTTAGCCCTAGATTGATACAACCATCTATACAACTCCTTATGTCAATTAACGTGAGTGTTGTAGTTGTTTGTTTACGGAGGTTTGTCTGTTTTTTTTCGATGGAATAAATAATTTAACGAGTTTGTGTAGAATCATGTAAACAGAAATCGTTGAAAATGTTGAAGAAGTATTTTCYGGAGTTCTACAAACCGAAAAAATTTAAACTCATTGAAGGCACTGAAGGCCAYCCCAGCTGAAGCCTATAGCAAGTGTTTAAAAAATTGGATTAAGCATTGGCACRCTTGTATTGATTGGGGAGCCTATTTTGAAAGCAATTATAAAGCTTCCCTTTAAAATAAAAAATTAACAGTCCGAGTTAAACTTTATCTAACATTTTTTGGATTTGTGAGAGTTAATTTAGTATAGTTTTTATAAATTTTATATATGCTCAGCATTATTTGTTCCAAAATTCGAATAGAGTTCATGATTAAATTTTAAGGTTGGGCTAGAAATTTTTTTTTGGCGTTTTTATTTTGGTAACTTCAATAATCAATGGCATCTTTCGTTTAGAAAAGTAGCAACATTTTAATGCCACAATTTATTCTTCATTGAATCAGAAAACATTAGTGCCTTAGGAGCATCCTCACATGTTTTCATACGAAATACAATTGCACTGTCGACATCTTTTATAACCAATAAACTTTGGAGCCTTACAAAGCAAGCTAATATCAGCTAAGTTTTTTTTTTTCTTTAACTKATCCTCTCGTGTAATAACAAGATRGAGAGCACATTTTTGTGGAGCAGCAGGATTTGCATATTCCTCAATTATGCATGTCTCGCGCTATTTTTGCTACAGTAATTGGCTCAAAGTGACAGCATTGTAGCAAGAGAGCGCCTTCATACTGCATTAYGCATTGTAACTACAAAGCATTGTTGTTTGGTGCAACATGGCGTATGAGTGATATTTTTGTTTGTGAATAATCCACAAGTCACACAAGCAGTGGAAGCGCARCAAAACTGCTTTATAAGCATGTAATAGCTAATAAATTCATTTAAAGCAAGTCATCAATAAATCAATCTACCGTTAAGAAAGAAATAAATATTTACAGTTATGTGCGCGAGCATGAAAATATTGACGAAAAGTCCCATACTGCTTTTACGCGCATTCTTAAAAAGTGTCTCACATACAAATATGTGTAATAAATTCGCACCGAATAAGCACAGTTGCTGCACACTGTCCCTCGTGCATTGGCATAGCTATAGCTATTGGCYACCAGCCAGACAAACAGACGCGCAGAATCGTTTGTCAGGTTGAACATCAAAAATTGCGCAAATAAGTAAGTTGTCACTTGTTTGTGCTTATGTGCTTATGYCCTAAAATCCACACGCTCTCAACCACACATCCACACAGACACGCAGATACTATGACTACAAATGCTTGCGTTGTTATTGTTTATTTGTGAATATGCGCGCATGGGTGTGAGTGTGAGTGCGAGTATTTGCCAGTTCGTTGCCATTCCGGCTAACTGTGTGCACACGAGCACTTACTATATATATTTCATTATTTATTAACATATCAAATWTGTATGCACATATATATGTATGTGTGCGTTTGGGTGTAAGCAAACAGACAATGTTGGCATTTACATATTTACCTATGCACCCACATATACATAAGTAAGCGAGCAAGTGGGTATAATAGCTGYTGGTATGCTGAACTTAGTATTGAAGTTTTATGTTTTCATTTGTATCTTTCRTTTTACGCGCGCCCGTGCACCAACACACTCAAGTGGTAGCAAACAAACAAACAAAGTTCGTCGTAAGTGCACATCCAACGAATTGTTGTTATTTATTTGACCGTTTAGCAACTTCCACCTCACTGCCACCTGCCAGTTATTATTGTTTTTTAATGATTTTTTACTTTGTTCCTTGCTTCAGCTAACTAACTGCAAACACACTTTTACACAGTCGTACAACCGTTACAGCCGAAAACTTAATCAGGATATCCGTCTAAGCGTGTGTTTATTTTGTGCTTAGCACTTTCCGCTTCCTGCTTACCCTTTTGAAATTTTTAATTCGCCAGTAATGCGGCGTGTTTGTAGTTATTATTGTTTATGTTACGCTTTAATTCCGTTTCGCGTTCAGGTTCTACACCACCACAATTTATTGTGGTACACCAAAGTCATTACGTTAGCGTGGCGCGTGTTAGAGCAATCGCCGGTCCGTTTGTTCTCGTCGCGTTGACGGCTGTGGAATACTGGTACAAGCGCAAGTCGGTCTCGTTTTTATATCCGGCACATTGTTGCGGCATTCCATACGAGGCGAGCCGAGCTAGACGCGACTGTGTGGCAGTGTTCGCATTGCGCCACAAATGTCTGCTGCTACTTTCCCTTTTTTCCGTACGCTTTTSTGCTTTTCTCTGTAAATGGCATGGACGTTGCTGCATATACAATTGTTAACCATGAAAGTGGAAGGAAATGTGCTTTAGAGTGTAATCGGATAGTGTAGTAAGTGAATATKCAAACATTAAAAAATTTAAAAACAAGATAACACGGTTGCAGAATAGRGAATAAAAGAATTYGCCAGGCAGTTTGTATASCAGCTATATGTTACAGCGATCCATTAAGAACAATTTCTTCTGAGCATATATCGTTGCCTTCGCCAATGTTCTCAACCAAATCTTTTGAAAATATATTACTGTGATCGGATTTAGTTAAATATGCGCCG